TGGATGGATGGATGGATGGATGGATGGATGGATGGATGGATGGATGGATGGATGGACTGACGGATGGATGGATGGATGGATGGATGGATGATGGAGGGATGGATGGATGAATCAAAGATGAAAGGAGGGCTCTCACTGATCATTTCATCTCTGAAACCTTCTTCTGTTTTTTGACAGCGTTTAACTTTGGCTTTGACGCAGCAACAGCTCACGGCGAGCTAAAGATTCAGGGTGACACGGTCACATGGGAGCCCCAGGGGGTCAAAGGTCACGACGCACGGCTCAGGGGCAAGGAGAATAAAAACAGGTGAGGAATGGTGACTCCCCATGTGAAAATCTAACTCCGCCCCTAAAGAAATATCCATGTCACCAAAGTGGACCCTGGAAGACGAGCCTTACGGGCGAGGCAAAGCAATGGGATGTAGGTGGGGGTTCAGGGGGTGTGGCCAGGACAAGAGAAAGCATTAGCTTAGCCTAGCCTATTTTAACTTAGCCTGTTGTAGTATGAAGCAGACGGACAGGGTCACAAGTTCATCAGCAGCTTCAGGAGGTTCCTTCCTGGACCTCTTCAGTGGCGACAAACTGCTCCTCCCAAAGCAAAGTACTGATGATTTTACTGAGTCTCCAGTTTTAAAGAGCCTCCCAGATACCAGCAGAAGTCCTTCTCTTTGGCTCCTCCCACAGCCAGGATCAGACTCTCCGTCCTCAAAGCTGCAGTCCAACATTTAGAGGTCCAAACCCTCAGTTCTGGTCCTGCCTGAGCTCAAACATGCCAGAATCTTCCTGGTGAATGTTCTTTTCCTGAATGTTCTGCCTTTTTTACGGCTCGGTTAACAGCTGGGTGCTGAGGTGTGATAGCGCCACCTCAGGCCATCCGCCTGCTCTGATTTCACTTGTTTATCTGCTGTTTCTGTCTTTGCGTCCTCTAACTTTTTTGTCCCTCTTCAGTCTCCGTACAGCCTTCTCTTCAGTCCCTCCAGGTAGACACTGTTATCATCCACTTGTTACCTAGCAACTACCAATCACTCACTTCATCCACCATCTCCTTCATGCAGCTGTTCACATCACCGCTGACATCACCGCTGACATCACCGCCGTGACATGTTACAGATTATTTGGTAGAAATGGTTTTGTGGGACAGAAGCTGGCTGTTTTATTCACAGTAACGTTCATTTTCCCATAACTCAAAAACATTTTTATTTGAATCGATTAACCGTTGGTTTTTGTTCTTCTCATCTTCCTGCCGCATCATCGCTTCGGCTCAACCTCATTGGCTGTTGTTTCCTCTATCAGTTATGAGGTTGTTTGTAAACGGTGGTTTTGTTCTGGTCAGCAGCAGGAGCGCCACTCCGTCTCCCAGTAAGACGGCAGGCGGTCGAGCCGGACGCGAGCGATTCGCCGGAGAGTCCTACACCGTTCTGGGTACGGCCATGAGTATTTTTAGGGCAGACCGGAGAGCCTGAAGCTGACGGGTAGAATCTGATTCGTTCTCAAACTTGTCCGTATGTTTCTACATCATTTCTGTTTCCTAGGTGACCAGGAGATAACTGGAGGCTGCCATTACTGGGAGCTCCGTCCCCGAGCTGACTGGAAGTCGCTTAGTGTGGGCGTGGCCTACAGGGGGGGTTTAGGACGATTCGACCAATTAGGAAAGAGCTCCAGTTCATGGTGTCTCTACGCCAGCCAATGGCTGCAGACCTCACTCGCTGCCAAACACAACAACAGAGCGAAGGCGTTGGATTGGCCGCTGCCGCAGCGAATCGGAGTCTACTGCGATTACGACAACGGTTTGATCATTCTGTCCTTACTGATCGCTTCTGATTACATTCATGGACTTACACTGATAGCTAGTTTCTGGACCGGCTGGGTCTCCATGGCAACAGATAAATGGTCACATGACAGATTTACCTTCAGAGCATATTCAGAATGATGGTTTCAGTTTCAGCAGGATCAAAGCTGATGATGTCATCATCTGATGTTTTAGGAGAGTTGATGTTTGTCGACGTCGATCAGCTTCGTCTTCTTCACGTCTTCAAGTCCAGGTTTAGCCAACCGCTCATCCCTGCCTTCACCGTGAGTACTACACCACTACTACAGCAGTACTACACCACTACTACACCACTACTACAGCAGTACTACACCACTACTACAGCAGTACTACACCACTACCACTACTACACCACTACCACTACTACACCACTACTACAGCAGTACTACACCACTACTACACCACTACTACACCACTACTACACCACTACTACAGCAGTACTACACCACTACTACACCACTACTACAGCAGTACTACACCACTACTACACCACTACCACTACTACACCACTACCACTACTACATCACTACTACATCACTACTATAGCAGTACTACACCACTACTACACCACTACCACTACTACACCACTACTATAGCAGTACTACACCACTACTACACCACTACTACAGCAGTACTACACCACTACTACACCACTACCACTACTACACCACTACCACTACTACATCACTACTACATCACTACTATAGCAGTACTACACCACTACTACACCACTACCACTACTACACCACTACTATAGCAGTACTACACCACTACTACACCACTACTGCAGCAGTACTACACCACTACTACAGCACTACTACAGCACTACACCACAACTAAAGCATTACTACACCAATACTACAGTGGTACTACAGAAGTGCTACACTGCTACTATAGCAGTATTATAGCAGTACTAAACCACTACTACAGCAGTACCACACAGCTACTACAGTAGTAACGCACCACTACTACATCAGTACTACACCACTACTACAACACTACTGCAGCAGTGCTACACCACAACTACAGCAGTACTACACCAATGCTATAGCGGTACTACTCCAATACTACAGCAGTACCACACGACTACTAGTACAGCAGTACTACACCACTACTACAGCAGTACTACACCACTACTACACCACTACTACAGCAGTACTACACCACTACTACAGCAGTACTACACCACTACTGCAGCAGTACTACACCACTACTACAGCAGTACTACACCACTACTACAGCAGTACTACACCACTACTACAGCAGTACTACAACAGCACTACACCACTACTACAACAGCACTACACCACTACTACAACAGCACTACACCACTACTGCAGCAGTGCTACACCACAACTACAGCGGTACTACACCAATGCTATAGCAGTACTACTCCAATACTACAGCAGTACCACACAACTACTAGTACAGAAGTACTACACCACTGCTAAGGCAGTACTACACCATTACTACAGCAGTACTATACCACTACTACAGCAGTACTACAGCAGTACTACACCACTACTACAGCATGAAGCTAAAACAGACTTAATAAAAAAAGATTTCCTGAGGGATAATGCAGCTTTTGAATGTGTTCTGCTTTCTGGTGAAAATTTAAGTTTAAAGTAGTCCAGAATTTGGGAGTTTTTCTATCCTATTAAACTTTTCTAAAAAATAATTAAATTTCCTTTAACTGCAAATTTCTGCAAACCTTTTCTGTTTTTCATTTGTCGTTCTGATTTATTTAGATGGAACTATAGAATGAATGTGTTCACTGCATAAAGATGGCAATGAAATGGCTTTAATCCTGGGTTTGGTTTAATGATGACATGTGGTCCCCATGTCCTCCAGCAGCACAGGCCAATAGCAGCATAGCTGTAGCGATAGCTAAGGATAACCTGAAACAGTAGTAATCCTAAACTACAGCAAAACTACATCAGTACATCAGTGCTTTGATGTGTTTATGGGTGTAACATGGTTTGTAGTACCTTTTGTGTTGCTCACTATATTGATATGTGTTCTAGGTGTGGTGTGGCGGGATCTCCGTGGCGACAGGCCTGCAGGTGCCGAGCTTCATGGGAAACTTTATGTCGACCAATCGAGGTCTGCCAACGGACCAATGAGCAGCTTCTACCTGATCCAGATTTAATCTTTTATGTCTTTATATTGAATATAGAAAATATTTATAGAAAAATCTTCTACGTGAATTTAAAAAAGTTTTATTGATTAGCTGAGTCTGGGCTTTTATTGTGAAGAACCCATATTTTATGTCCCAGGAAGGGACAGATTGATACTCTGGACTTTCACAGTAAAAGCTTGTGTTTTATCTCCTTATGAATTTAATTATTATGCTTTTACTGATTCTGAATTCAGATATAATTTAAAAAAGCATTTATAAATCACATTAGAGCAGCAGAATAATGTTAAAATTTAAAGATGTGTCATTTTGTTTTGATGGACTGATGATTTGTTTCTCTGAATAAACTTCCTGTTAAATCTCAACAAGTTGTCATGGTGATTCAAAACAAATTAAACAGATTTATATTGGTCAGTTCAACAGACAGGAAGTAACCTTGATATCATCGCTGGTTATTTTTCTTGCTATAGATGGCCGCAGTAAGGTTGCCCATGGCAACAGGTTGATCATGGTGAATCATCTGATAAGCCTAAACCTTAAATCCCCAAATTATTCAAACCCCAGACAAGTTCTGGCTGAAAAGTTGGCTGGAAGTAATGGTGATGAACTGGACCAGCTGAAGATTAGGGTGATGGTAAAGAGGCCTTGCAAGGGGAAAGACTTTGTGATCAACATAAAAAATTTATCATTTTAATAATTGAGAACACAGAGACTAAATACTTCATCCTTCTCATCAGACTGGGAAAACCGGGTTCATACTGGGAGAACTGGAATCATGCTGCCCAGTGAATGTTTTAGGTTTATTTCTGCAGACAGATCTGTTTTATTTTCTTTCTTTATTTTTTTTACTAAAATGAAAAATAAAATCCTTTAATTTAAGCAAAATACAATAAAATCCACAAAGAGAAAACAATTCCAACAAAAGAACAGGATAGAAACACCTGAGATGAAGTGAAAGAAGAGCAGGGTGCTCTCCATGGCAACAGCACAACAAACGGAGAGAAGAAGAAGAGACACTGGTGAAGATCAAAGTGAAGTGAAGGTTCTGATCCAGCAATGATCTGATTAGGGATCTGATTTAATCTCTACGTTTTTATTTAGTTTAGCTTTTTTTTAATCTGTAATGAGCTTTTATTACATGTACTGCTTTAGAACTTGCATTTAATTGCATCTATGGTAATCTGAGTAAAAGGTTCTATCAAAGCAGCAGCTTGTTTATCATAAGCAGGTTCTGCGATCCTGAACTGAAGAAGTTCTGTTAGTAGAAAGTGTTTTAACTGGAGGTTTTAGCCCTAAATGATCAGACCAGAGTGAAGGAGGACCAGTATACAGACCTGAAGATCCAAACGGACTGAGAGGAACTGGAGACGTTTCAGGACGTCTCACTTCTCTGCTTCCTTCAGATATTCTTCCCTCCTCATTTAAAGCCAGTGTTTTCTCTGATGCGATGTTCACAAGAACTTCCTCTCTGACCCGGAAGAACAGAGCCGACGGGTGAGTTGAGCTTCTAGCTGATATTTTTCTGTCTTTTGGTTCCGTCCAGCTCTTTCTCTCCTGATTCTGCTCCACTCTGACAGGCAGGTTATTGGTCATCAGGTGCTTGGCTGCTGATTGGCTGCTGGTTGGCTCCTGCTTGGGGTGATGATGATGTGTTTCCGTGGAAACCGGGATGAGTTTTATGGGGAGGTCCTCCTATTGGATGGCAGGAGGCTGCCTCTGACCTCTGAGCAGGGCATCAAGGTGAAGGTCACCTCCTGTTCTCTGATTGGTTCATCCTGCTCAGAGCGGCTTAACTCCTCCCTCTCTGCCCCTCAGAGGTCTTCCAAGGCGGTGGCCATCTTCCAGCTGGTGGCTTCTCACCTGAACCTGGTCCAGGTCCAGTTCTTCGGACTCAGATTTTGCGACAACAAACAGCGTTTGGTGAGAATAAACACAGACGATGCGATGCTGTGTCATGGTGTAACCTCAGAGATCTTGTTTCTCGTTTGTTCCAGTTCTGGTTGGATCCGACCAGAACTCTGCTGCAGCATCAAGAGCTCAGTAAGGATGAACATTTTTATTCAAACGCTTTAGATTTTTATTTCGTTAACTTTTCTCCCTGGTTTGTCTCAGTCGGGCCTCCATACATTTTCTACTTTGGAGTAAAGTTCTACGTGGAAGATCCAGTGAAGCTGCCGGACGAAACTACAAGGTCTGGTTGTATGGAGTGAAGTTTGCTCCATAATTGCTATAAAAAAAGGAAACAGTTTTTAATGGAAATCCAATCTGGAAATAAGACAAAAAAAAACATCTTTGTCATAAAAGAGAGTGACTTAATAAAAAAAGACCTCTATAAAACCTCGAACCCAAGGCTATTTCTTACAGTTTGAATTAAAAAAGCTTCCTGGATGGAAGAGAAACGTCTTCAAACTTGAAAACAAAGTCCAGTGGATTGTTTTTAACTTTCTTTTTTTTCAAATTATTAAATTTTTTTCTAGATGTTTTTCATGATTAATTTTTTTCAAATTTGAATTTTTTAAATGAACTGTTTGAGATAAAATTTACAGATTGGATTTTACAGATCACCTTCTCTTCACTTCTAGAGGCGGGCTTTCCGCTGGATTGATGAGAAAAATCACATTTCTACTGGCTTGTATAGTCTTCATGGATGTTATCAACATTTTTATTGGTCACGCACAAGCAGATTCTAGTAATTATAAATCTAAAAAAATATTTAAAAAAAACAACGAAGGTTTGAAAATCTAAATAACAAATATATATTGAAAAAAAGGAAAATACTGATTTGAAAAATCTTCATCTAGGAAAACAGAAAAGTTACTCTTAAAACAAAAGGTTCACTTCAGGACTGTATTTTTATTTTTATTTTTCAAACCTCCATTAATGAGTTAACCACTTAAGGAGGTTTAATGAGTTCATCTTTATCAAATCCAGAACCTGACCATAAAACAGCTTTTATGAAGCTTGAATTGCCACCAGGGTCAAAGGTCAGACATACTCCTGCTTTTCAATTCAATTCAGTTTATTTCTATAGCGCTAATTCGTAACCCACCTCATCTCAAGGTACTTTCCAGTTCACCAGATCATCCATTCAGATTTAATCAAAGTTTTCTATCTAAGGAAAACCAGCTGATTGCATCGACTCATTGACTCTTCAGCAATCCCTCACACTAAGCATGCTTGTAGCGACAGTGGAGAGGAAAAACTCCCTTTTAACAGGATAAAACCTCCAGCAGAACCAGGCTCAGTGTGAGCGGCCATCTGCTGAGGCCGACTGGGTATCAAGGAGACAGAAGCAGAGATACAAAAAGCAGCTGTAAAAGGCGGCCCCGTCCAGGAAACAAACAGCCAGGCAGACGAGCTCCCAGCCAGCTCCCATGTCAGAGGATGAAGAGAGCACATCCAGTTAGTCACAGTCAGAGAAACAGGACTACACTGGAAAACAGGCCAAGCTCCAGCATCTAGAAACAAAGGTGTTGATGGCAGCAGCACAGCTGATATTTCTCTCCAGGATGGAGTCACAGCCAAACAGGAACAGACCAGATGAAGCTACTATGAGAAAAAGCAGAGAGAGCAGAACGTTAGAGATTGAACTAACAGATTCTGCAGAGTGGGAGAATAGAGATAGAATGAAGCAGAATGATGAAAAAGGGGTCCCTATGTCCTCCAGCAGTCTAAGCCTATAGCAGCAGAACTATAGAGATAGCTATAGCGATAAATGATTACCTGCTCTGGAGATGCTCTGACTTGTTTCCTGGAGTCTCCACTAGGGGGCCCTCAACAGAACCAGAGACCATCTATGACCCCTATATTCTATTACCCCCCTTTCTGCTCAGGCAGGTCCGGCTCTGTCAAAGCTGCATCGCTGAAACTGATGTGGACACCTGATGGTGACGCGGTTGTTTGTGGTTTCAGGGGTCAGTTTTACCTGCAGCTCCGTCAGGACATCCAGAGAGGGGTTCTGCCATGCCCCGCCCACCTTAAACCCCACCTTTTGGCCCTGATGCTGCAGGGTGAGGGTCACAGAGACGCCAACGATCACTGATCAATGAGCTGAGAGCAGCATGAGACCAGCAGCTGTGTTTCTCTGTCTCAGCGGACCGCGGGGACCACTGTGGAGAAACAACGTCTGAGGACCAGCAGGAAGTTCAGCTCATCCATCGAACACTGAGGTACACAGGAAGTTAATTAGTGCATCAGATTCTGATCATCAGCTCTGTGATCGATTAGTTACAGACTCTTCCTATTGCTGTCCAGCGGAGTCCCCCGCCTTCAGGCTCAGAACCACTTCCTGTCCCTCTGCAGCTCGCTGCAGATGTATGGCGTCACCCTGTTCGCCGCCTGCGTACGTTGACCCCCCCCCCCCCAGCCATTGACTCATCAGGTCACCATCTGAGTCTCATGGGTCTGTGTCTCCTGCAGGGGCAGAACCGCACCGAGTACTTCCTGGGCCCAACCCCAGTGGGTGTGGTCATCTTCAAGAACAAGGTGCTGGTGGGAAAATATCTCTGGTGAGTGAGACCTCCCCACATGTCACCGACGACCAATATGGCTGATCAGATTCGATTTGAGCGTCTCCACGGTGACAACAACTGCTTATCAGCTGATCTGACTGCTGATTAGAGATCAGTAACAGAAACTAACGGCAGATTAAATGTGATACTGATCCGTAAGAAGAACACTCTTCCCTGCGTTCTTATTCAGCAGCATCTCATCTGAGGACCTGGAATCTACAATCATCAGACCTTTAGCATGAAAACATCCTGACAGAAAGACACATAGAAGAAAGTCACAGTAGATAGGAGTCATTCAGGATGTTTTCTTTTCTACTAAAGGTCTCTGTAAAATCATTAAAGGGGTTATAGATTGATTCTATAGGGTCCTTCAGGTCTCTAATAGGGTGTGTAACATTGGTTGGGCTGAAAATGTCACATTAGCTGTTCTATGAGCCCTAATGCAGCCTGGTTTAAAGCCCTAGAAAGAAACAAAAGGTTTTCTTCCTTTTATGGTTTGATCATGAATATTTAGATGAGCTGTGCTCTGATTGGTTGGTTTACAACGAACCAAGCTGCTGAGCAAAGACGCATCATAGCAACAAGCACTCACTCACTGAAACATCAAATTGTTGATATGGTAGGGGGACCAGACGTCCTCTTTTTCCCGGACATGTCCTACTCTTCATACCTCTTAGGGGCCCCTTCACTGACACCTCGTAGGCCCCCTTCGCAATTGTAGACTAGGACGTCTGATTGCAGACGTAATGATGCGAAAAATTCCCCTTAAACCCACCTGACACTAGATAAACTGAGTTAACTGTGTATAGTTCATTAGACGGTTTGTAAAAAATATGCTTATATAATATGTTTCAAACCGCAATAAAGATCTTAAAATTTAATTTTTTACACTACCCCTTGGAATTATGGGTAATCCAGAGTGTTGTACCTAATTCTGTGGCCTATCTAGATAATGTTGATTACCTGCTTATTGATGTGTCGTTTCATCATTGATAAAAAACATGTATAATTTATTAAACAGTATGTAATAATTTTATATTTAAAGTACTTTCAGAAGTTTGAATTCTGAATATGAGCGGACTTTTCCTTTAAATATAATATTTAATCATAGAGCTGAAAGTAAAATTAAACAAAAGGAATTTTCAAAGCTAATTAAATTCAGTTTCAAGTCATTAAATTCGGTTTCATTTGAATAAAATTTCAAGTGTTTCTTTAAATTTCAGAGTACATGAATACAGATTGGGTCCCTGAATATCACTTTCTGATGGGGAAAGTTTCTGACCATATTTATTCTGCATCTTTTTCTAAACTAAACTTAAAGATTGTTTTCAATGAAAGAAAAGAACAGAAGTTCATCAATCATAAAAAAACAGGTGGGATTATCAGATACATGAAACCAAATCTCTGCCTCCAGCTTCTGCACATCATACCCGCCATCTGGCCAGAGTCCTGTTGGAAAGAGTTGCTGCCCTTTGGATGATTATTATATATATATAAAATATATAAAATGTTTCCTCAGACTGTCTGAGTTCTGCAGTGATGTTGTTTTAAATATGGCGCTTTAAAGAGTCCCTTCCCTCTGGTTCCCTCAGATGATAGCAGCATCTTTGAGAACCAGAAACCCGAGCAATCAGTGGTCAGATCTAAGCAGGCGTTTCCCATCATGCATTGCAGCAGCTAACACTGCAAAAAATTTAAATCTCAATAAATTTTTTTCTTAAAATAAGTGAATTTTTTTCTTGAATTAAGGGTAAGGGAGAAACTTTGCCAATGGAACAAGAGAATTTACATTTAAAATAAGAAAAAAACAAGTATATTATCTTATTTCAAGTGCATATTATCTAATTATCTTATTTAAAGAGTAAAAATACTAATTCCATTGGCAAATCATCTCATTTACCTGCTCAAATTAATGGTAAATACACTTAATTTAAGATATTTTTACTCATATTTAGATAATTTTTGCAGTGAACGCAGCTCATCCTGGATCCTGACTCAGCTTCAGGTCTCCTGTCTTCTGTTCTTCAGGCAAAGAATCACCAAACTACGCTTTAAGGACGAGACCTTCGAGCTCGAAGTCTGCAGCAGAAACGTGAGCTCCCATTGGCTGACAGATGATGATGAGGAAGAGGTTGATGAAGATGGTGATCAGATTGTGTTTCAGGGCTCGGAGGCGTCGTTCTTCTTCCAGATGTACGATCGCTGTGACTGCAGGCGTCTGTGGAGGTGCTGTGTCGAACATCACGCCTTCTTCAGGTAACGAGGGAACGTCTACATGAAGCAGCAGCGGGGTCAGAACCGGCTCTGGATGGTCCGGTTTAGGAGAAACATCAACAGGAGGAGAGAATACCAGGAGCATAAAGGCTGTAACTTTATTTATTTAATCAACTTTCAGACTTTCATGTTTTATTCTGTAAACTCGCACCTAACTGGCTGCGTGTTTGAGCAACAGATTAAAGTGCAGCTCCAGCTCAAATGAAACAGTTAACTTTACACACATTCTAAAGTCGTAGGGAAATCATATTTAAATATCAAAACAATCTGGGTTAAAAATGTATATAAATGAACTCTTAATCAGACCATATTGTTTTTGAAAAATCCTTTCTTAAAATCTGTGGGTTTTTCCGTTATCTTCTGTCAGTCTGAACACCTAAGTTCGGCCAATCATATATCAACGGTCATCTGTCAATCAAATTTTTTTTGGTCATAGTGTGGAAGCTCATTGGTAGAATTCTCTTAAGACAGAAAGAAAGACACTTGAACACGTTTCACATCATTTTATCCTCCGGAGGGGGGAAACATTTATTTAAAATTCAAATTCCTACAGCTGTCTTCAACACTTCATAAGATCAGCGCTACATCGTCAGACATCTCAGTTTTCCCCCAACTCTCATTTCATCTCAGGCTGTTTTATAGTCTCAATATCGCACTGTGTAGATGCACGTGCACAACGGAATATTATGCCGAAATCTTACTGGAATTCACGTGTGCTGGTCAAAGCCAGAGGTTGCTCTGACACTGGGAAGAATGTTTAAACAGACGTTCTCTGCTTATGCCAAAACCTCTTAATACATCATCTAATTGCGTACGAATCAGCCATTAGAAACTAGCCTCATGAGTCCATCCTGATCTCGCGAGCTTTCAAGGTTTCACTCGCTAATCAGTCTGGAGACTCTCTGTTAAAGAAAATTTGGAGCCGTTCACCAAACGAACGTCCAATCAGCGTTGGCTTTGAGGCGGGTTGAGGTGTGACGCAACGAGAAGCGCGACAGTTCAGTCTAAAGAACATGGCGGGTTCAGCCGATGAAACTAGCGTTAGCATGGCTATCGAGCAAGTTTTATCGGAATTACAGAGTATTTCTTCACTGAAATAAGAGCAAAACACTGCTCTGGAGGCTTTTCTCAGAGGAAAGGATGTTTTTGCTCTTCTCCAGACTGGTTTCAGCAAGAGTAGCCTGGCTTGTGGTTGTGTTTTCGTCGTCGCTCTGTTAGTACGTCATATGCTTCGTTGATCTGATTGGTTTATTTGGCCCGTCTATCACCAACATAGGCCAATCAGCTAACCAGTATTTTCACCCCTTCCCAAAATTACTTCAACGGAAGGTTTCCAGATGGATATGCGGAGCAAATCTATCTGGAGGAGTCAGGTTAATTAGAAACCTTGTTATTGCCAAGATTCATGCTTGACCTTCAGCATGTACTGCTAGGATTATAAGGCTACGAATAAGGATATATAAGGTAGTACAGCTGCTTTTATATTTGGCAAGCCAGCCAGAATATCCTACATTAGCATCTAAATTCATATGTCGCAGCTAATGTACGCAACGGTTGAAATCAGAATCCTTTTCTTTCCCATTGAGTTGCGTCCCAGTGTTCACGGGGATGGACGTCTGTGTCTTCGGCAGGCGTAGAGCTAACAGAACTGGCAGCGTTGCGAGGCAAGGGCTCAAACATGTACGGCTGGAAGCCTTCTACACCAAACCAAGCTTCTGCCGCCCTGGCGTCCTCTTCCACAACATCTTCGTCCCCGCTTTCCTCCTCTAAATAAAAAATGGATAACGGAGGAGACTCATCCACGACCTCCGACACTAAACTCTCCTCCTCTTGCATGTTTCCGCTGTCCATAGCGTTCCTTGACAGCGTTGTTTCTAAGTCACCAATTTAGTGCTACTTGGTCCCAATGGAATTTCCCATTGGGAACCTGCTAGCACTAAGTTGCTAACTGGTTAGTAAGATGCTTCCAACAAACCGGCCACAACCAAACATGCTTGCGAACCTTTCGCCACAACAACCCCGCCATCTTGATGATCGACCAATGAAATTCCCTTTATTCACTCGTGTAAAGTCGGGAACCACTCGGGAGAATTCAGAAATGCAACGGTTGGAACGGCCGCTTCGCTACAACTTTAAAATAAATTCAAAACTTCAGTCCATCCATCCATTTTTCATCACGCTTATCCCAAGCAGGGTCAATACGGGTGCTGGTGCCTATCTTCAGCTGTCTACGGGCGAGAGGCGGGGTCCACCCTGGACAGGTCTCCAGTCCATCGCAGGGCAACACAGAGACAAACAGGACAAACAACCATTCACACACACTCTCCCACCTAAGAGAAGCCAATTCACCTAATAGTCCTGTTTTTGGACTGAGGGAGGAAGCCAGAGTACCCAGAGAGAACTCATGCATGCTCAGGGAGAACATGCAGAAAGACCCCAGGCCAGGAACTGAAACTGCGACCTTGTCGCTGCAAGGCAACAGTGCATTTTTCTATTAATGTATTGGAAATTCAGCTATCTAACAGTATCAATAATCAATCTGTTTATTTCATGCTTTATTTATTCGTTTCATGATTTATTTATTTCATTTTGCCTCATTTAACCTTTAAAGTAAAATCTTATCATACAACCATACTGACCTGTAGCTACGCCCTGGAAGTTACAAACGGATTTTGTGTTTGCAGGATGTCGGACGGAAACACGGCGACGCTGCGTCTGAAACACAGCAGGTAAACCGTCTCCGCCAACCGTGGGATCAGAAAAATACAGCCGTTCATCATGTTTTTCATCAATCCTGCAGTTTCGCCCGTTCTTCATCTCTGACTCTTCCTCGGCTAAAAGGCAACCGGCTGAAAAGTCTTGACAAGAAAACAGCAGCAGACGATTGTGCGAAAACCACACCGTTCAGTACGTTTAAATTCTTTCACTGTTTGTTTGCAAACTCTGTTCAAAACCCCTGAAAAAAAGAGAGCCTCAAAATAAAATAAATCTTATATAAAGATTTTTCTGTTTCTTAGGATTGTTTATTATTTACCAAAAATGGTCTAATAATAGCAGGTTGCCAACTTTGAACTGTAATTGAGCTGAGTGCTTTGGCTCCACCCCTTTTTTTCTGTCAGCCAATCAGAAAGCAAGTGAGATCAGCGAACCAATGATCCGGCAGATGGCGCCTGCTGCTGTTCAGAGGTCAGAGAGAAATTAGCTCTAGAAATAGCGCTAGAGTTCTAAATCAACTGACCCCGCCCCTTCCAAACAGGTCAGAGGGCGGAGCTACGGTTGACCTCATGAAGCCCAGTGCACCATGGGAAAACAGCCAATCTGTAAAGTAAGCAAACAACTGGTTGTAGCGTCTGTAATTTCATTTCTGGAATCATATCATTGCTGCACATCAGATCTCCACATTTTCTAATCCCAGAACTACTCCTCATGTAATCTGATTACAAGTCAAAAAGTCTGACTGAGAATAATCTGAAGAGGATTCTGTTCAGTATTGTCTGATTAGAAAACATAATCTGTGTTTATCTATACAGTCCTTTAAATTTAATCAGATTATTGCTGCAACTAACTATTATTTTGCAAATCAGTTAATCAGTTGATTTTTGTTTTTGGTTTAATAATTAGTAAAAGTTTCCTTAAAGAAGATTTTTTTAAACAAAATTGAACCAGGTGGAAGTAAAACTTTTACACTTCAGGGGGAGTTCTTGGTGGAGAATATGGACAGACAAATAAATTTTTTTTTTGTACAATTTTGACATAATTCCTGCTCTAAGTGGGTCCCCATGTCAGCTAAAGGCATGTCTTATAAGTCTCTATACTCCATTAAACGATTAATCGATTACTGAATTAGTTGACGATTATTTAAATAATCGATTAATTGCGATTAATCCGATTAATTGTTTCAGACCTAAATCAGTTTACTGCACCGGCTCCTACAGCAATTACAGAAATCAGATTTTCACTCAAACATAATTACAGCACGCATTCATTTCATACCTGTTCTGGTCAGTCACAGAGAAGGGAAATCACTGTTTCTGATATTTTTTTAATATTCCTTCTGTTTCCTGTAATCCAGACATTTATTCTGGATGTAATTTGATTACCAACATGTTTGTTTCCAGAGGCCTTTTCAACCCAAAGTTTCCATCAAACATCAGAGAAGAACAAGGAGGTCAACAAAGGTGACATAGAAACTAACTAACTAACCAACTAAATAATTAAGTGAATTATAAACTGACAGTATGGCTGTCCTAGTTGACAAATTAATTGAGTGACTGATTAACTAATTAACTTGTTTACTGACTGAATGACTGACTAATTACTTGACTGCATGATTGTCTTAACTAAATAACTAGTTGACTGACTGTTCAATTAACCAGATAATTTGTTAGATGACTAACTTAATGAAATACTGACTTGGTAACTGACTAGAATAACTAAATATGACTAACTGGCTATTTAACTTGTTAGCTTTCTGACTGAATGTTTGACTAATTAGGTGATTGAGTAGTTGACTACCAAGTTGACTGACTGGCTAAATAGGTAACTGACTACCTCACTGAATGAGTTACCAATTAACTAACTAACTAACTAACTAAGTGAATTATAAACTGACAGTATGGCTGTCCTAGTTGACAAATTAATTGAGTGACTGATTAACTAATTAACTTGTTTACTGACTGAATGACTGACTAATTACTTGACTGCATGATTGTCTTAACTAAATAACTAGTTGACTGACTGTTCAATTAACCAGATAATTTGTTAGATGACTAACTTAAGGAAATACCGACTTGGTAACTGACTAGAATAACTAAATATGACTAACTGGCTATTTAACTTGTTAGCTTTCTGACTGAATGTTTGACTAATTAGGTGATTGAGTAGTTGACTACCAAGTTGACTGACTGGCTAAATAGGTTACTGACTACCTCACTGAATGAGTTACCAATTAACTAACTAACTAACTAAGTGAATTATAAACTGACAGTATGGCTGTCCTAGTTGACACATTAATTGAGTGACTGATTAACTAATTAACTTGTTTACTGACTGAATGACTGACTAATTACTTGACTGCATGATTGTCTTAACTAAATAACTAGTTGACTGACTGTTCAATTAACCAGATAATTTGTTAGATGACTAACTTAAGGAAATACCGACTTGGTAACTGACTAGAATAACTAAATATGACTAACTGGCTATTTAACTTGTTAGCTTTCTGACTGAATGTTTGACTAATTAGGTGATTGAGTAGTTGACTACCAAGTTGACTGACTGGCTAAATAGGTTACTAACTACCTCACTGAATAACTTACCAATTAACTAACTAACAAACTTACTAACTAACTAACTAACTAAGTTAATTATAAACTCACAGTATGACCGTCCTAGTTGACAAATTCATTGAGTGACTGATTAACTAATTAACTTGTTTACTGACTGAATGACTGACTAATTACTTGACTGCATGATTGTCTTAACTAAATAACTAGTTGACTGACTGTTCAATTAACCAGATAATTTGTTAGATGACTAACTTAATGAAATACTGACTTGGTAACTGACTAGAATAACTAAATATGACTAACTGGCTATTTAACTTGTTAGCTTTCTGACTGAATGTTTTACTGATTAGGTGATTGAGTAGTTGACTACCAAGTTGATTGACTGGCTGAATAGGTTACTAAGTACACTATATTGCCAAAAGTATTTGCTCACCCATCCAAATTATTGGAATCAGGTGTTCCAATCACTTCCATGGCCACAGGTGTATAAATTCAAGCACCTAGGCATGCAGACTGTTTTTACAAACATTTGTGAAAGAATGGGTCGCTCTCAGGAGCTCAGTGAATTCCAGCGTGGAACTGTGATAGGATGCCACCTGTGCAACAAATCCAGTCGTGAAATTTCCTCGCTCCTAAATATTCCACAGTCAACTGTCAGCTGTATTATAAGAAAATGGAAGTGTTTGGGAACGACAGCAACTCAGCCACGAAGTGGTAGGCCACGTAAACTGACGGAGCGGGGTCAGCGGATGCTGAAGCGCATAGTGCGAAGAGGTCGCCAACTTTCTGCAGAGTCAATCACTACAGACCTCCAAACTTCATGTGGCCTTCAGATTAGCTCAAGAACAGTGCGCAGAGAGCTTCATGGAATGGGTTTCCATGGTCGAGCAGCTGCATCCAAGCCATACATCACCAAGTGCAATGCAAAGCGTCGGATGCGGTGGTGTAAAGCACGCCGCCACTGGACTCTAGAGCAGTGGAGACGCGTTCTCTGGAGTGACGAATCGCGCTTCTCCATCTGGCAATCTGATGGACGGGTCTGGGTTTGGCGGTTGCCAGGAGAACGGTACTTGTCTGACTGCATTGTGCCAAGTGTAAAGTTTGGTGGAGGGGGGATTATGGTGTGGGGTTGTTTTTCAGGAGCTGGGCTTGGCCCCTTAGTTCCAGTGAAAGGAACTCTGAATGCTTCAGCATACCAAGACATTTTGGACAATTCCATGCTCCCAACTTTGTGGGAACAGTTTGGAGCTGGCCCCTTCCTCTTCCAACATGACTGTGCACCAGTGCACAAAGCAAGGTCCATAAAGACATGGATGACAGAGTCTGGTGTGGATGAACTTGACTGGCCTGCACAGAGTCCTGACCTCAACCCGATAGAACACCTTTGGGATGAATTAGAGCGGAGACTGAGAGCCAGGCCTTCTCGTCCAACATCAGTGTGCGACCTCACAAATGCGCTTCTGGAAGAATGGTCAAAAATTCCCATAAACACACTCCTAAACCTTGTGGACAGCCTTCCCAGAAGAGTTGAAGCTGTTCTAGCTGCAAAGGGTGGACCGACGTCATATTGAACCCTATGGATTAGGAACGGGATGTCACTTAAGCTCATATGTGAGTCAAGGCAGGTGAGCAAATACTTTTGGCAATATAGTGTACCTCACTGAATGAGTTACCAATTAACTAACTAACTAACTAACTAACTAACTAACTAACTAACTAACTAACTAACTAACTAGTTCACTGACTGACTGAGTAATTAACGGACTGATTGAATGAATGAATGAATTATTACTATTAACTAGTTAACCTGTCTGTGTTTCAGGCGTAGCAGAAGTCTTGATGGTGATCGACCAACCAGAGGACAGAGGAGGAGGTCAATTTTAGTGTCTGACCGTCCGCCCTAAACCCTACATAGAGCACTTTATTGGGATAACGCCATTTTAAATGGGTGTCTGAACATCTGCCTGAAATTTCCCACAATGCATCTTGAAAAGTAGTGATCATCCATGGTCAGTAGATGAACAGATATATCCCAGAATGCTTTGCAAGAGCTCTTCTCACAAAGCATCATGGGATATGTTGTGGCGGTGTAAAGAACAAATATGGAGCGGGCAACATGCGGGGAGGCGGAATTACATGAACAAAGGGGAATGAAAAGTAGTGATCATCCGTCCAAACGGTCAGTTAACTGAGTTCACTATAAACTCCACTATATAGTGATGGAGGGATTTAGGGGTTAGGGCGAAGGTTAAGACATAGCCTTTGTTGGAAACAAAAATGGAACAAATATCAAATATAATGTTTGAAACCATGACAGGTCTAGTTCCCATGGCAACACCAGCAGTGGCAGTGAATCTGGAAGGATGAGTACCGGAAAACAACGACACAGACGGTAAGAAGAACTATACACTCGGAGGTTGCCATAGTGACCATGCATTCCTGTTTTCTTTTGGCAGTGGGAGTTAATGCTAAGTGTCTTTTTTTGGTAGGCGGAGTCCTGACGCCCAAATATGGAAGCACATCCAGTAAGTTCCGCATTAAACTACAGTAGAGTACAACATATAGTTCAGAACTATATGTTGTACATTATTACTAAAGGCGCAGTTAGACCTGAAGCTCCGATCAAATGAAGGAAGACTTACAATTACACATTCAAAAATCAGAATATATTTAAAATGTTTACTTCAGTAAATAAAGAGACTTTTGTATGTTTTACAGTGAAAGTCAACTTCATAAAATCTGCTGGTTGACTTTGAGCCAGTATCAGGGGTTCTGTTCATCTGTAGGCGGGAGGCCATGCAGTGGACGTCACCCTGCTGTAAAAAATAGCGGTTGGTACTATTGAGGGGCGGGGCTAGGGGAGGGGTTAGGATGGGAGAAAGTGGGAGGCTCGCTTATTTTATATAATAAAAGAGGAACCCTGGGAAAGAAAGTGATTTGAATATCGGAAATATATTTCACTGTTTAATGAATCACTTAATAGTTTTTGCTGAAGTAAATGTACTTAAAACAGAGAAAGGATTTGAAATCAGGATAAAGCACCTAAAGAGAAAATGATTAAATTTTTAAACACTATTCCAAGCAGCTGGACTAAGCCCCCGGGGTCTCAGGATCCTAACAACGCCTCTGGTAATCACTCTGTTTCTACAGTAGATTAGGAAGTCCCTAACTTTCTGAATGTCGACAGGAAGCAGCTGGTGGAGCCTGAAGGTCTAAATGACAGACAGATAGAGGAAATACCATATAAGGAAGTGAGGTAAGGACCAGAGGGGGGGACTTTGATTTGAAGACTTGGGTCTTTCTCAATTCACAAGAACTTCAGTACAGAGTCATGTTCTCACCAAGTATGTCCTTGAGAAGAACACAGGGAAGTCAAAGCCAGCAGTACTTCCCACACGGCTATGCAAAGAGAGGGCTGCTGAAAACAAACTAACGTTAGCAGGCGGGCTAACGTTAGCCCTGACTGCTGCAGATGAACTAACGTTAGCCCTTACTGCTGCAGGCGGGCTAACGTTAGCCCTGACTGCTGCAGATGAACTAACGTTAGCCCTTACTGCTGCAGGCGGGCTAACGTTAGTTTGTCTGCAGCAGCCAGGGCTAACGTTAGCCTGACTGCAGCAGCCATGGCTAACGTTACCCCTGCCTGCTGCAGGCGGGCTAACGTTAGCCTTGGCTGTTGCAGTCGGGCTAACGTTAGCCTTGGCTGCTGCAGAAAAACTAATGTTAGGCCTGGCTGCTGCAGACGTTCTAACGTTAGCCATGGCTGCTGCAGTCGGGCTAATGTTAGCCCTGGCTGCTGTAGACGAACTAACGATAGCCGTGGCTGCTGCAGTCCGGCTAACGTTAGCCCTGGCTGCTGCAAACGAACTAATGTTAGCCATGGCTGCCGCAGACGGGCTAATGTTAGCCTTGGCTGCTGCAGACGGACTAACATTAGCCCTGGCTGCTGCAGGCAGGGGTAACGTTAGCCTTGGCTGCAGTTAGCCTCGGAGGTCCGCTGGTTGCCACATTCCTCTCAAATCTGAACTTTTTAAAATTACTCACTAAATCAGTAAATGCGCCACATAGTGATGCTTAAAAGTATCATGTTTTTGCCTCAAATTATTTTAGACCATACTTTTTTAGAACGGCAACAGAAAAATGAACTTTTAAGTTAATACTCACATAATACTAACATGGAAGCTGCCGCTGTCGCAGTGCATGCTGGGACAGCTCTCAGTCTGGAGGGTGGACAAGTCTGCTCTGATGCATGCTGGGTAAAGAGGGAGGGGCCAGAACAACATCCGGGGACTTTGTCCGTTCTCTGTTTTGTGTTCTTTTGAACCGGAATGTTACTAGTGCTGAGGCTGATGATGATTCACAAGTACATTAGAGTGCGCAAGTACACATATTGAGAAACAACCCTGGATTCAGTCAGAGTCACAGATTTGATTACTTAAAACCACACTTGGTTGTTTCACTTCACTTAAAGACTTCGCGTTGACTTCAGCACCTCTGCTGAAATGAAGCTTTCACTAACCTAAAAAAACAAACCACTAATAATAACAGAGGGTGCTTGAGTCATAACTGACTCAAGGAAAAAGGACTTGAAATAGAGGACACGGACTTGTTAGTTTCTTGTCATGTGACTGGACTAGCAACAAGACTTCCCAACACTGGTAGGGAGAGATGTTAAGTTAGGAAGCTGAGGGCGAAGCAGTTCATATAAGAAATAATGTTCCAATTTATTTAACGTCCTCGGACGGAGAGATAGAGCTCTCTGACTGAGGCATTTCAGTTCATACATTTATACCTAACAAAATCACACACTCCTATTCACTGCATGAAGGACTTTGTGTGAACTTATTCTTATCCCCTTGAACCCTACGGTCCAGCTGCTACATGACTTCGTAATGTTACCAAACCCCCAGTATTGATGTAAAAAACATATTTGGCACAGTTTGGTGACATTTATGGATAAATGTGCCAAAATGGCCTCTCCGCCTAAGAAATTTCTCACTAATACCATGCTAAAATAAATATGATTCATCTGATTGAGTCCAAATTTGGTATATTTTTACACAACATTTAGATTTGAAAGTCTGTACTACTTTTTTGTGCTATAAATAATATTTTGGTAGTGTTTTGTAATGTTTATTTCAAAGAAAATTTTGGCGAGGTTCAAAAAATGCAAAATATTTAGTATTTTGTCCCGAATATTTCAGGCAGGGTCAAAGCTACAATGGTGCTGACACCAGAAAACCATTCTATGACATCTTACCTTTACAGACGTACCAAAAGTTTCTTCTTAAATCTAATAGCATTGAGGCTATAAGTTATTTACTTTTGTGTGTTTTTGTCAGGCAGAAATTTATTTATACCCCCTTAGGGTGTAAGAGGTTATCTCTCATAACCTTCCCTTCACCCTTGTTTAGAGTAGGGAGGCATCTGCTTTCTGCCCCCCCCTACCTTAAACATTACAGCATAGAGGCTGATGCAATATTTCTCTGAACTCACTGCTATTCCAGGAGGCCAATAAAAAAATAAAGTTCCTCAGAGATCAGATTTAAAAGAAGAAAAGTTCTGCCTTGTTTTTGTTTTTTTCCTGAATTGCAAAGTTTCAGCTAAACCAATAAGAATGCATCGTTCTTCAAGGGGGCGGCGACATCGACGGTGGGCGTCAGCTTCAGAGCTGCGGTCAGTGATGTCATCAGTAGCCGATACCATGGCCAATACCAAACAGGTGTACGTGTACATTCATTTTTTTTATTTATGTTTTAGGTCTAAAGCGGAGGTGGTGCTGCCTCTGTCCGTTACCATGGCAACCGCCACCTATCCAGCAGAAGCGCCACTCAGCCAGCAAGGCGGCCAGAATACGCATGATGCTACCACGGCAACAGCAACCAGTGCAGGGCCTCTGAGGACCAGCAGGGAGTGTAAAGACTGGAAAACATAGAAAAAGAATTTAAAGTAGTTTTTTCTAACATCGCCATGGTAACCCTGACTGTCCATGTCCACCTGAAACAGCTGTTTCCATTCTAGTGGATGTAAGGATGGGCCGATGGATGGTCATGTATGGAGTGAAGTTTGTTCCATTATTGTTGCAAAGAACGTGTTCTGTTAGAAATGACCCCTCATCTGGGCTAAACCGAACTGAATGAGAACCAAAGCAGATTAGTTAACTGCTTTTTGCAATTTTATCAGGAGATTATGGACATATTAACTAGAACTGGATGTTATAGTTAATTAATAGGTCATTCAAATAAAGGGTAAAACCAATTAATGATTATTAGTTAAATGATTTTAACTAATATCTGCTTACGCTCTCTGCCACATTAAAGTCTTTTATCCAACCGCTGGAACTTTACTGTTTGCCACAAAATGTGAGAGAAAAAAGCTTTAAATTTTAAGATTATCTGTTGGCTTGTTTTTTTTTTATTATACATTCCCTGCTCCATAGTTTTTTTTTTGTCTGTCTTTTAA